GACTTTGCAAGTTGCAACGGGGAATCCCACCACTTAATACGACCAATGGGTATACACATACTGCGAAGGAGGCGGCCAATGCATTACTGGCCCAGTACTCCCCAATCTTACAAGGTGCAAAAGCCTCGACGTATATTCCGCCACTAGTTACCCCACCGTCCGTTTTATCCAACGTCACGTTCACTGCAGAAATGGTGCTGCAAAAGCTGCTATCCTTGCGTCCACACAGCTCTCCCGGGGCCGATAACATTCACCCGAAAACATTACAGGTAGCTGCCATCCACTTGGCCGAACCACTCGCTGCTTTTTTTCAGCGCTTTTTCGATGAGAACATCGTACCTTCGAGGTGGAAACAAGGTGTAATAACGACCATATACAAAGCAGGAAGTCGATCGGATCCTGCCAATTACCGCCCCGTAACGCTTCTGCCTGTGATCGCCAAAGTCATGGAAGCGGTGATAGCAGATGCGTTAATGGGATAATTGGAAAACTACGGCATAATTGCGCCAGAACAGCATGGGTTTCGTCAACATCGTTCATGTACGACAAATCTGCTGATAGCTCGTGACAACTGGACCGAGACTGTCGATGAGGGAACAGGAGTCGATGTTGCATTCTTGGACTTTTCGAAAGCCTTCGATCGCCTGGATCATCGAATCCTGCTCATTAAACTCCAACAGTACAGTATCGGAGACCCGTTGTTAGGATGGATCGGTAACTTTCTCTCTGAACGGCAGTTAGAAGTTAGAGTTCGATCATCCTTTTCCGATCCGATTCGAGTGGGATGCGGCGTACCGCAGGGTTCGGTACTTGGGCCTCGTTTGTTCCTGCTTTTCATTAACGATCTAGTAAGAGTTATTACGTCGAAATTTTTACTCTTCGCGGACGACCTCAAGGTTTGGCTGGCGATAAAACGATCGGACGACCATGAAGTCCTACAGCGTGACTTGAATGAGGCCTGGAATTGGTCGGTGAGATACGCCCTGCCGTATAATGTGAACAAATGTCGCGTTGTTCATATCCGACATCGACAAGTCCACGTCTACAAGCTTGGGGCACACGATCTGAAGACCACCACTCAGGAACGCGACTTGGGTGTGCTGGTACAGGAAGACCTCGGGTGTTTCAAACAGTCAGATTCCGCTTCTAAAAGGTGCAACCAGTACGTTGGACTCCTGCGAAGAGAATTCGGAATTTTGGATCCATCTATCTTCTCTTTGATGCTGAATGCCTACGTGCGTCCTCACGTCGAATATGCAATCCAGACCTGGCAACCCTGGCTAAAACGTGACCTTGCAGCGCTTGAGACCCCACAGCGTGGAGCAACGAAAATCGTCAAGGGCTTGCGCCACACTCCTTACCAGGAACGACTGGAGGTACTCGGAGTGTTCAGCGGACGGTACCGGCGACTTCGTGGAGACCTCATACTAGTGTACCAGATATTGAGCGATCCCAGTCACGTATGCCGCCACCTCTTGAAGCTCAGCCCGAACACTAACCTTCGCCGTAACAGTTTTAAGCTGAGCCAACAGTACAGTCGTCTAGACTGTCGGAGAACCTATTTCTCCCTCCGGGTCTGCGGGCCCTGGAACGCCCTTCCAAACTCAGTCGTTTGTGCCCCCACATTAGATACGTTTAAAAAACGATTGGACGTCGCACTGAGCGCCCTGCGCTTTGTTTTATGAACGAAAACGCTTGTATATATTTAGGCTGACCAGCCTCTTTGGATTTATACCCCAAATTCACGATCGTAAATCTGTGCGAACCGGTGAGTACTCCATTTTTATTTGCTACCATCACCAACGATAACAATTTCTTAGCCAGTTTTGCGTCGTACCACTTTATCCCCCTAAAACTGTTATACTTCTACCTTTTATCTCACTGACGCTCCTAACTTCAACCACTTATGTGGTTTGCCAATTTGTTAGTATTTCTATTGCCAACCTGCGGGGACTTATTAAGTGTATGCTTTTTTACCCGTCATATACCATTGTTCCATTGTTCCATCAGTGTCTAGAATGCTACCTGCACCCAAGCATTTCGATTTGGATGTCACAACGTGTTGCCGCTGTTCCGGAATCAACCTTGGTGACTTGTCTGAATCTCAGTGCGTATACCTGAAGGCGGCAGCAGTACAAGGGGGCGTACAGAGACACTTGAAATGGGATACAATGACCTCATATTGTAACCCGCAATAAGTCACGATGTCATATGAGAAGAAATGTAATGAGATCCATCTGTCAAATGGGAATGTATCGAGATACGAACAGATGTTAGCGGGACTTTTAATTTAGTCCAGTCCCATTTATACATCGAGCTAGCAGATAATGGTGTCGCGTGAGTGAAAATGCCATCACTCTGCTAGGTTGAAGTGTGGCGTTTACAAGAGTTTCCAAATAGCTTCCACTTAG